TATCAACATTAATACATTATGCTAATTTTCATCTTTGTAAGCGCATAAGACTGTGCAAATTATTTCTGTGACAGTCTTTTGAAGTGTGTAAAGCTCCATTTTATCCCATACATAGTCAAAATATTGGGTGGGGGGGGGTAATACTATGGACCATCCCCCTTGTCAAATATTAGGGGGATATATCCCCCCCCCCGGGATCTACGCCTATGCTTGTACCCTATTTAAGTTTTCCACAACAAACGTTTAAAAAAGGATCATAATTTCACGTGTTCTGCTAATGCACGGCGGTACTCGATGCACTGCCGCGCGGGCTGTGTGGCTGTGGTGTGAGTACTGTATTTGCACTCAAGGCCTATACTAGGTCGTGAGTGCATAAACTACAGTACTGTATACTCACAGCCCTTCTCGGAGGAGGCAAGCTAGGAAAACCAAGCTTATGTTTTTATAATAAAAATATGTTAAAAAGTGGCTGTATATAAGACAAATGTTTGCATTAAAAAAGCAACAGGGAATTATTATTATTGTAATAATATGTGTAGACCTATATAAGTGTAGTGACGGCCACCCTCTGCTCGAGAGACCGATCAACGGTAACGACCTCCCCGGCATCTGTGTATTTGCATATCCTGCTCTCAGGTGTGCAGGGGAGGGATCGCCGAGATCTTGGGGAATTGTCGTCACTCGTACACTGGACTTCATGCAAGACGCATCATACCTAGCTAACGCTACAGGATTTGTTTATGTGTATCTGGTGTCCGAGTCTACACAGGCGTATTACGTAGGCCTACTACATATTGGAGTATTATCGCAAGAAGCAAGATATCCCAATGGATAAGGTAAGCTTCACTCGGTATTTATCACAGTATAGGCGACAATTACTACATAAGTTTTAAAAAGAGCCAGGCTATTTATGTAAATAGATAGAGTATAGTTACAACTTCTATCAATTCAAAATCATGATACAAATATTGGCCAGTTACTTTGGTCTAATTTGATTGTATTTTTAGTATACATTAAAAAAAAATCTAATGATATTTTATTTTTTAGGAGACACAATTGGCTGGAAATACATTTCTACTTCGATACTCAGCCCATCATTGAGATATGATTACACTGTAGTATATATTGGTGTGTTTTGTAGTTGAATGGTACATGTATACTGAAAGTGGTGCATAATTAAATAGGCCTATCTATAGTCTTCATGGTTGGTAATAATGTTACTATTTAATATAAATTAATTTACTGCTACTATAATAAAGAAATGCAGTATTTATTTAAGTGAAAATAAAATATTCTAATTTCTAAGTACTGTAATTTTAACCAATACTATATACCTTGCAAGTATGAAACAGCACACTTTTTTTTTATAAGAGCAAGTAAAATTTTTCGCAGGATCAGCGTAATTATTTTTTTCATACTTTACAAATGTGGAAAATTATTATTCTACATAGATATTACTTTACTCTAGTATTACATGTACAGTACTAGAAATAATGTATAGTTATTGATGGTTTTTTTTTTACCTTAACTTCAATTTGTTCTTATAAAATGTGTTCTTATAGAAAAAAGTGCAGTATTAAATGCGACAGTATTAAATGCGACAGTTTTAATACAATATACAAATAGGCCCTAACAGTCTGATAATGCCAACTTGGGTGTCAATGCTTAAAATTAACAATATAATTAGTAGCTATTTTAGTAACAGCCTTTTAATTTTTTGTAATTTTCTGTGAGTACAATTGCTTGCAATTTGATACAATAACAATTTTTCATAAGGTGATTTGTAAATAAGTATTTTTATACAAATTGAAATTATTAGATATTTAGATTTAAACATGTAACAACATTTATATAATTCATTATTTTGATATAGCTTTGTTTTAATAATTAAAATTATGGACCTTAATTATTTCAAATATTCACTTCTTTCTTTAAGTTGTCATAAGGTGGTTTTGTGTGAGAGTGTAGTTGTGCTTCTTCTGGGACTATAACATTGACGTGGTGGAGAAGCTTGTGTTCCTCAGTGATCCAATGGGCTATGTCGACGGTAGCTTAGCTACTGTTAGGGTCACCCATGTCGAACAGACCATTGGGGAGAGGACAGACAAATAATAGTCCAAACAACAATCCTGAGAAGGTTGTGCGTAGCGTTAGCGCCGCTACCACGGAAAAAGATTTTTGCTACAGAAACAGTAACAAATGAGAACATTCAAATTGAAGACTTGGGTGAACGAAGGAGGGTTGGTAATAATCTACCGCTAATGAGGGGCTGGAATGAAAGCCGTAAGGAAGTTTCAGACCGGAAGAACACCTAAGCCAAAACTTTTTTTAGGATGCTGGAATGTTAGAACAATGTACGAAGCTTGAAAAACAAACCAGGTTATACGAGAAATGGAAAAATATAACATGGAAATTCTAGGGATAAGTGAATGTAGATGGAATGGATAAGGAATGATTAGACATGCAAGTGGTGCAACAATATGCTTTTCAGGACAGGAAAGCGGACATTACGGGGGAGTAGCTCTAATAATCAACAAGAAAATAACAAAGACACTGATAGACTGGGAGCCTATAAATGCAAGAATTATACGAGCAAGATTCAACTTTAAATATACAAAATTGACCATTATCCAATGTTATGCACCAACTGAGGACCACTGCGATGAAGACAAAGAAACCGTGAGGAAAACCCCAAAGGATGATGTAATGGTAGTTATGGGAGATATGAACGCAAAAATAGGAATAAATAACACAGGGAGAGAGAGGGTGACGGGAAAGGAAGGTCTTGGCAAAATGATGAATGACAATGGAGAGAGATTTGCAGATTTCTGCATGGAGAACGACTTAATCTTCAAACATATGGACATCCATAAAGAAACATGGGTTTCTCCAACTGGGAAAACAAAAAATCAGATTGACCACATCACAATAAATAGAAAATGGAGGACATCCCTTCAAGGTGTCAAGGCAAGAAGAGGTGCTGATATGGGAAGTGATCATCACTTACTGGCAAGCCAAATCAAATTAAAATTACGTAAAACGTAAAACAAAGAGCCAGAAATTCTCTTTAACACTCAGAGACTGAGAGACCCAGTCACAAGAAACATCTTTGAAATCAATCTCAAGAATAGTTTCAAGGTACTAGAAGAGCTACCAACTGAGGACATTGAGAGTGGCTGGACACAATTTAAACAGGCTTTTACAGAGACAAGCAGTTTGGTCCTAGGGCAAAAGAATGACAATGGAGAGAAATTTGCAGATTTCTGCATGGAGAACGACTTAATCTTCAAACATAAGGACATCCATAAAGAAACATGGGTTTCTCCAACTGGGAAAACAAAAAATCAGATTGACCACATCACAATAAATAGAAAATGGAGGACATCCCTTCAAGGTGTCAAGGCAAGAAGAGGTGCTGATGTGGGAAGTGATCATCACTTACTGGCAAGCCAAATCAAATTAAAATTACGTGAAACGTAAAACAAAGAGCCAGAAATTCTCTTTAACACGCAGAGACTGAGAGACCCAGTCACCAGAAACATCTTTGAAATCAATCTCAAGAATAGTTTCGAGGTACTAGAAGAGCCTCCGACTGAGGACATTGAGAGTGGCTGGACACAATTTAAACAGGCTTTTACAGAGACAAGCAGTTTGGTCCTAGGGGAAAAGAAAAAAGCATGGAAAACATGGGTGACACCAAAATCATGGAATTTTATCGAAGAGAGAAAGAAATTGAAACAAAAAATTCTCTCAAGAAAGGAAAACTTTATGAGAGATAAAACGTATAAACGGAAGAATAAACAAGTGAAGAAGAGTGTGAAAGAAGATAAACAACAATTCGTTGAAGAACAAGCGGAAAAAGCAGCCAACAGAGGGGATCTATGTACATCATACAAAATTACAAAATCTCTCATAGGATCATACCAAATAAATTCGTCTTCAACTGTAAAAGGAAAAGACGGAACAAGAATTACAAAACAAGAAGAGGTGTCAAAGAGGTGGAAAGAACATTTTCAGGAGGTATTAAATAGAGAACCACCAATCGAAGAGGCAATCATTAACCTAGATA